ACAATTTGGAGTTGGCTGCGATAGTTCATGCCCTCAAGATCTAGAGGCATTACCTTTATGGGGTGTCGTGTAAGGTTTACACTAATCGTCGCAGTTTGTAGCATTTGTTTAACCAGAGAGATCTTAATCTGAGGCAGCGCATGTGACTTGAGTTACTGAAGAAATATGATATTACCATCCTCTATCATCTGGCAAGGTGAATGTGGTTGCGGATGCCTTGAGCAGAAAGGTCGAGAGTATGGGTAGTTTGGCATTCATTTCAGCGGAGGAGAGGCCATTGGCTTTGGATATCCAGTCCTTAGCTAACTGACTTGTGAGGTTGGATATCTCATAGCCCAGTCGAGTTCTTGCATATGTTGCGGCTCAGTCTTTTTTATTCGGGCGAATCGAGGCTCGTTAGTATGATGATTCGCACTTGTTGGTCCTTAGAGAGATTGTGCTATGGGGTGATGACAAGGAGGTTGCTATCAGTGATGATGTTGTTCTGCTACTCCAAGGTTGCTTATGTGTTCCTAATGTTGATGGCCTGAGGGAGACGATTCTAGAGGAGGCACACAGTTCGGCGTTATTCTACTCATCCAGGTGCCACAAAGATATATCGTGACCTAAGGCAGCATTACTGGTGGAGGAAGATGAAGAAGGACATAGTTAAGTATGTGGCTAGATGTCTAAACTGCCAGTAGGTTAAGTACGAGCACCAGAGGCCAGTTGGCTTACTTCAACAGATGGTTATACCGGAGTGGAAGTAGGAGCGCCTCACTATGGATTTTGTGGATGGTTTACCGCTGATGTTGGGGAAATATTATGCTGGGGACGTCCAAATGTACCAACAAGTTCCCCTATTTAAGACTTTTCGTATGTGTTTTTACTGATTTATGACTTGCGGGGATAGTTGGTCTGATTTTGGAAGGGTTCAGGTTGAATTTAGAACACTTAATTCCATAATAGTGGCCTAAGGTGGCCAAGTTTGACTTGAGTCAACACTTTAAGTAAACAACCTCGGAATCAGAATTTGAAGATTTTAGTAGGTTCGTATGATGATTTTGGACTTGGGCGTATGTTCGGATCGGGTTTTGGGGGGACCATGAGCTTTTCAACGCTTATTGTTAAAAGTTGGCATTTTGAAGGTTTTAGAATATCCTAAGTTTGACTTGAAGTGGACTTTGATTTTATCGACGTCCGTTTGGAATTCTGAGCCTTGGAATAGGTTTGAATTGTGATTTGTGACTTTTGCTAAAAATTCAGCGTCATTCCTAATTGTCTAAGTATAGTTCGTTGCGTTCGGAGTTGGTTGAAATGAGTTTGAAGCCTAGAAGTTGATTAATTTGGTTTTGAGGTGCGACTCTTAGTTCCGGTATTATTTTATGTGTTTTGAGGCTTCGATTAAGTTCGTAGTATGTTTATGGACTTGTTGGTACATTTGGACGGGGTCTTGGGTGGCTCGGGTGTGTTTCGGACCACCCGGAGCAAAGTTAAACTTGGTTGAAACTGCTGGTGTGCTGCGCGATCGTGAAGGATGTCCCTCGATCGTGAGGAAGGCTGGATGGAGGTCTGGGACTTTACTCTTCGCGAACGTGAAGAGGTCTTCGCGAATGCGAGGGAGGATCTAGTACTTCTTCGCGAACGTGTAAACCACGTCGTGAACGCGAAGAAGGGAGGTGCTGAGTTGGGCTGAAAGGCAGATGGACGTCGCGAACGCGATAGGGGGATCATGAAAGTGGAAGACTGGGAGTTGGTTCATCACGAACGCGACTAGGTGGTTGCAAACGCGAAGGGTAAATTTGGTCGGCTGGGCAGTTGGTCTTCGTGATCGCAAGGGACCTTCCGCGATCGCGAAGAAGGGATCCCTGGGTAGACTTGATTTTAATATGGGACTAAACTCTCTTTTCTCTCATTTTTACTTGGGTTGCACGAATTTGGGGAGCTATTTTGAGGGGATTTTCATCAAGCATTACAAGGTAAGTGAATTCTACCAACTTTTGAGTTAAATACATGGATTATGGGTGGATTTAAGATAGAAATTAGTGAAAATTATAGGATTTTGTTGGAAACCTAGGGTTTGGTAAAAATGGATTTTGACCATGAAATTAATTATGGAATTGGAAATAAACTATATGTTTGAGTTCGTATGTGATGGATAACATTTATCTTCGAAAATTTTCAGAATCCGGGCACGTGGGTACGAGGGTGACTTTTATGGACTTTTTGAATTTGGTTGGGAAATCACTTTAATAGATAAATTATGCACTTTTGAGTATATATTGATTAGTTTGTACAACCTTTGACTAGTTTCGGATTGCTCGACGTCGTTTGGGGACTACTAGTGAGGTCTTAGAGCCGAGTAGTGAGCTTGGGAGCGAGGTAAGTCTCTTGCCTAATCTTGTAAGAGGGAATTATCCCCTTTGGTGTATTAATTGTTGTGTGGTACTTGTTGTGGGATCTATGTATGCATGAGGTGACGAGAGTCTGTATGTAGCTATATTAATGTTTATGTCCGGGTAGACTTAGATTTACATCATGCCTTAAATGTGCTATTTGAATTAATCTTGTGCATTTGATTTCTTTGATTTATGACTAAGATTGAGACTAGAATAAAATATTGGCTGAGTCTCTTACTTTGAAAATTTGTGAAATATTTGATGAATGGTAGTTCCGTGTCTTCTCGATTCGCATGTATTTTCGCGAGCGAGAGAGTTTCTCTACTCTTATGGGATCGGGTCATTCGACTTGACAGGATTACAAACTATTCTAGTGGGATCGGGCAATTCGCCTCGGCAGTGTTGTAAATTAATCTTATGAAATCGGGCCGTTTGCCTCAGCAGTATTGTAACATTATTCTTATGGGATTGGGTTGTTCGCCTCGGTAGTACTGTGTATCACTATTCCTATGGGATTGAGCCGTTCGTCTCAGCAGGCTCGCTAACACTTGAGATTTGAGTGGTTATTGATATAAGTTAGTTTTGTTCCCTCGAGGCTAGATATGACATTTTAGTGATTTCGTAATGACCCGTGTTTGGAAATTTACTATTAAAGTTTATCTGTTTCGTTGTTACTTGTTGTATTGCATACCTGTCCACTTTATGTATATTATTTTTTGACCACTAGTAGGTGTCAATTCGACCCCTCATCACTACTTCTTTGAAATTAGACTAGATACTTATTGGGTACGTATTGATTTACGTACTCATGCTATACTTCTGCACTGATTGTGCATGGACTGAGATATGTACTTCCAATGGTCACACGAGCGCGTAGACGCATTGCACAGAGACTTAACGGTGATCTGCCTTCCATGCTCTGATCTGTAGCACCCGGAGTTTCCCTCTACCTTATTTATTGTTTCTGTCTATTTTATTTCAAACAATAGCTGTAGTAGTTTTGTATATTTCCTAGATTGCTCATACAATTGTGACACCGGATTTTGGGGGCTACTAGTGGTTATTCACAATGATAGTGGTTATTATCATTGTGATATATGTATTATTCGCACTTGGTATTTTTGGGAAAGAAGTACGCATGTTTCCATGAGATTTTCTTTTGTTCGGTGTATTTAATATTTTCTTATTTTGAAAGTTAAAAATGAATAATTAAATTAGAGGTTCACGTGTTGGCTTGCCTAACGGTGGTTTTAGACGCCATCACGACCTATTAATATTTTTGGGTCGTGACAGCGCCCCATGGCGTCCTGGCAAGCCTCCCAACGCCTAATGCCATGGATGGCCCTGTGGTCTTGGCCGCGCCAAGTGACAAGCGCGCGCGTGCCTATGTCACCCCATCAATAGCCCTCGCCAATGCCCAGCAGCAGGTAGATGCCAATAGGTCCCTTCGGCAAGCCGCTCCCCAGCGCGCGCCCGTTGTCAGTGCAATTGACCCATGCCCTGCGTCCAGCTCCGGCATGCAGACCCTGATGCTAAAGACAAGGCTTACGCCAACTGACCTACTTTTACCTTGTACGAATCTAAGTCCTNATCAAGTAGTCAAACTTTCAAGCAAGCAAACAATTCTTTGTATTGGTGTCTCTTCCCCTCGACATCATGTTGCCTTTCTGTAATAACTTTCAATTAATGCAATCAAGCTTTCTTTCATTCTCATCTTTTTTTCTGTTCTCTCAATTTCTCTTGATCTCGGTTTTCCCGTACAATACTAACAGTCTTGTCTAGTGCACGGAGGGGACCCCAGTTGGTAGATAGTAACTGCATGGACATCGGTTGCTTAGCCTTACGTCGCCCTTTCAAGACATCTCAGGAACGCGCCGCGTAATAGTAATTATGCAGAAGCAGAAGCACAACTCTTTGGTTTGAAATGGTGTGCCGATAGAGGTCTAGACATGGCCATAGGAGAATCTGATTCACTTCTAATGGTCAAGTGTACTAAAAGAGAGTGAAAACGTCCATGGAACATCAACAACCAAATAAAAGAGATCCAGAAAATGACCGAAGATTACATCTTCAACATCAATCACTGCTTCAGAGAAGCTAATAGACCAACCGATAGTTTAGCAACTCTGAGTCACAGAATTGGAGGAATCAAGAACTTCAACCTTTTCTCTGATCTTCCTAGCCATATAAAGGGCTTAGTAAATATGGTCAAATGGAGCCTACCTACTTGTAGAATAAAGCCCACAAAAACTTCTAATATCATCTATGATCCTCTGTGTGCTAACTTTGTTTTTGCTGTCCTTTAGTTAGGATATAGAGTGGAAGTCATAACTCAATGATCATGTACAAAGGTTGGGATGCCAAACTCAATATGTATTTTTTTGCACATCAATGATCAATGGAGACTGTTTAATTAAAAAAAGAATACAAAAGGTGAACTACCAACTGATAATTGAAGCGAAAAGTGAAGCAATAAAGAAGCTTATTCTAAAAGGCTGAATTTTATACATTTCCAATATGCAAACAGAATAAAGAATTAGTGTCAAAAAAGAGAAGTTCATTAGAACACTAATAAGTCAAAGACAATTTGTGAATGAAGATAATTAATTTTAAAAAAATAAATTAACCCTCCAATGCAGCTTGATCAGGAACCAAAACTAATGCCAACCACGGGACCAAATCTTGTCTAAAAGACCAGACTTGCACTATCATTTCAGATTTGAGATTATTCCTTTCTGCTACTGCCATCCAATCATTCAACAAGACGTAATTTAAACTTTTATTTATGTCCCACTTTGCCAAATGAATTTTTGTTTCTTCAAGTGATGGCTCGATTAAGTTGAACTGAATCTTCATCTTTTTGTTGGACTCAATGTCCCTCATCTCCAAGTCCAATTTTTGTTGTGGTGTCAAGAAATCCTTATTCCTTACTTGGTTCACAGGAATTGACATTCGCATATGCTTATTGCTCAAATCTGTATCATAAAGAACTTTCTGAATTACCAGTTTCACTTCAGAACTTTGAACACCCATATTTTCAATCTTCTCCTTGAACTCATCTGGCAAACCTGGAGGTTCAATTGGCACTACAGGTTCTATCCTTTTTCTCTTTTTCGCTCTATTTTCCAATTTACTTTGTTTTTCATCTAACAAATCTTCAATCTTCCTTCTCTTAACCTTTTCGTGCACATATTTTGTTGCCAAACAAGTATCAGTCTTTAAATCACTAACACTGGAACTCCCTGGGGAATATGAATTTCCACTAAAAACTTTCTCATTGACTATCTCATTCTCCATCAAAGCCTTTTCTTTTCCTCCTCTATCAACTACTTCTGTAATTTTCCTTTTAAAAAAAATTCTAATTTTCTGGCTTTTCTTCTCTAGTTGTGATTGACACCCAATAGTCATAGCAGTAGGACGCTTTCTTAATCCTTTGCTTCTTTTAGTCCTAGGCAACAGATAATAATAATGATCCACAGCTTGTTCACAAACATAGGGATTCCTTTTAAAAGCTTGATCTTTCTTGTACTCGTCAAGAAGATATGAGATTATATCTTCAAGATTTCCTCACAATTTCTGCCTACTTTCTTCTTCAATGCGAACAATTTCTTCCAATATTGAGCAATCCGTAATGCAAGAATCAACATTCGTCCCTCCATAATTATCATACACAAATTCCAATCCAAACTCATCCTTTTTCTTCTCCGTAAACACACCAAAAGCAGAGTTTTCTTGATTCAGGATTGCTATGGCAACCCCACTTAAACCAGAAAGGAATAACAAGAAAGTAACTAAGAAACGTACTTAGACAGAGATAAAAGGAATGTTGATATTGTTAGAAATAAATGTAGCATTGGTGTTGATGAATGAAGTTAAGAGAGTGTATGTAGAATTGCAGATTAATTTTGAAACATAGAAGAATTGTGGATCGCTGATAGGTATGGTAATTGTGGAATAGAAGTATGGAAATATAGGATCGTGATTGACGAAAGGGAGTAATTGTTGTCCCAATTAGGATAGAAAAGGGGGAATTGTCCAATCAGATGTTACAAAGGTTTAAGAAACGGGGTTTAAGAAAATAGGTATTCCTGATTTCTTGGACGGAAATTAACTGTATGTAATATTAATATTACATCCTTAAATTATATATCCTCAGGGACCCAAAAAATTTTCTGTTAGATATAAAATATATACATAATTCAAAATTTCAAATGACTACTAATACTTCTTTGTTGCCCTTTCTTATTCTACATAGTTCGCTCTTCTTGTATATTTTATAGATGAAATTAGAGACAATTAAAACTTTAGTCACTTTCACTTTTTTCCTCTTATTCATTAAAACTTAATAAAATCAATTTTCTTTTTATAACTTTGACTTTGTAAAGTTTCTTTCTTTGACAAGTAAGGCTTGCTTAGTTGGTAAAAGTATCTCCACCCACGATCGTTAGGTTCTGGGTTCGAGTCAAGTTGGAGGGGAAGTATGGAAATACTATAGATTCTCCTAATTTGGGAAGGGTGAAAAAAAAAAAGGTTCCAGTAAACCCGCTTCAAGCTGGTTAGACCGCAACATACTTAAGATTGGAACTAAAAGTGAAAACAATTGTGCAAGTTGGAAAATTAAATTACTCTATTTAACATACTCAATTAGATAAATTTTTATTTTTATTTTTCAAATATCTCTATTGATTATAGAATAACGCTAGCAGGATGTAGTGTTCATATTACATCCTATAACAATTGTCTTAGATAGAAGAGTTTTCAAAAACTTTTAAAAAGAAATCTTACTTAAGATTAACAATGGGTCAAGAAATATTAAATTGAATGATTCACTATGTTATCAATTGAAAAAGAAATTTATTAAAAAATTAGCATTTTAGCATCTCAAAAAGCTAGAATAATAAATTCAAGATAAAAGAAATACTTATATAATTTATATCTATTCTATTATAAAAGCATGAAACTCCAAGACAAAATATTGATCAATTTTTATTTACTTATGTAAGTGCATTCTATGTTGGATAAAATCATAATTACAATTAATCCTTAAAAACATAATTATTTCTTGTATTCATTATTTGACCTTTTTATCTAATAAAAAATCATTTTCTTATATGATCACATTAGGGATGTTGTAAATCTCCTTCAGAGTTTTTACTTAAATTTCTCAAGTTGCAATTTATTTTTAATTCTCCGATAGAAGCCTTTTATTTACGAGGTAATACCCTAAAATCCTCCTAAACTATTATTTTTTGTCAGTTTCCTAATTAAATTATTCTGTACCCCCAAAACCCCCTGAACTATATTGCCCTTCATATTAAAAACTTCTCATTGTATTCTTAGATGTGCGTGTAGTGCACGCTCCAAAATTTTATAAAAATGTATCATATAGCATTACACATGGCTATTTAACTCAGCCTAAAACCCGCCTAAACTATCATTTTTTTGTCAATTACCTACTTAAACTATCTAGTGTCCCCAAAATCCACTAAACTATATTCCCTTATATATTCAAACCCCATGTTGGACTTTAAAGGTGCGTCTGTCTAACTATATTAACTTATGGTTTGTAAAATATTTTTTATATAGTTTACTCATGATGTATTACTCTCGGATGATTGATTAATTATAGGAGTTTTGGCCAATATAATATTTAATGTACTATGTTAAGTTTAAATTTAATTGTGATTGTGCTTTATGCTAAAATCCAATTGAATAAGTCCTTATTTATATTCATTTTGTAGCACAAATAAAATATAAATAAAGGCATATAGTTTAGCATTTCTTAAAAATCATCTTATATTAAAGGTTCAAGATATTAAACTTTATTCTCTACAAGATGTTGAGTTTAATAAGAAAATTTAAATTGGTATTCTTTCAACAATATGTGTAAGACATGAAAGAAGACTAAAACAAGAAAGAGAATAAATCATTTCAGAGGAAACAAGAGAGGGAGAAATTTTTCCGGAGGAAACCCACATGGAGAATTGAAGAAACAATATTAAAAAATAAATAAGAAATGTAAAAAAAAGAAGTAAGAATGGTGAAAAATGAGGAAGAAAGGTGGATATACTGAAATAAGGAGAATATTTTAAAAAAGCATAAAAGTGAAAGAGGGTTAGGCTAATTAATCATTATTTTCTGT